TCTATCCACTGAGCCAAATTGGCTAAGGCTCAATAAATATTTTTTTTTAATATATTTTATTGATTTTTTACAGAGAGGAAGGGAGAGAGATAGAGAGTCAGAAACATCGATCAGCTGCCTCCTGCACATCTCCCACTGGGGATGTGCCCGCAACCCAGGTACATGCCCTTGACCGGAATCGAACCTGGGACCTTTCAGTCCGCAGGCCGACGCTCCATCCACTGAGCCAAACCAGTTTTGGCAAAGTATTTTTTTTATTTTATTGATTTTTCACAGAGAGAAAGGGAGAGAGATAGAGAGTCAGAAACATCGATGAGAGAGAAACACCAATCAGCTGCCTCCTGTACATCTCCTACTGGGGATGTGCCCGCAACCAAGGTACAAGCCCTTGACCGGAATCGAACCTGGGACCTTTCAGTCCGCAGGCCGACGCTCTATCCACTGAGCCAAACCGGTTTCGGCTCAATAAATATTTTTTATTGAATTCATTTTGAAAGGAAAACTTGTTGTAATTCAGAGGAGAACCAATGTACTGAGGGAGCCATATAGCACACTTCCATTTTTGCTCATGAAATTTCTGAATTTGTATCCATCCTCTTTTATGTGAACCACAAGATGAAATAAATGAGAGAAATTATAGCTATGTCCTAAGCATCTTGGAAAGGAAAACCTGTTTCTTCTATTCCTTACAATCCAGAATGGTTTAATCTTCCTTCATAGTGTTCCTGGAAGTTTTCTCCCTCTCTGTCTCATCATTAGAGTTCAATGGTTAAAAAAATAGCCCTAGCCAGTTTGGCTCAGTTGATAGAGCGTTGGCTTGCAGACTAAAGGGTCCCAGGTTCGATTCCAGTCAAGGGCACATGCCTGGGTTGTGGGCTCGATCCCCAGTAGGGGGTGTGTAGGAGGCAGACGATCAATGATTCTTTTTCATCATTGATGTTTCTATCTCTCCCTCCCTCTCCCTTCCTCTCTGAAATCAATAAAAATATATTTTAAAAAAATGACATCGAGCAGACCCTCATACCTCAGAGGGATGGCAGCGGAGGGTGAGGGCTGGGGTAAGAGATCAACCAAGGACTTGTATGCATGCATATAAGCATAACCAATGGATACAGACAATAGGGGGGTGAAGGCCTGTGCTGAGGGGCAAGGGAGGGATGGGAGAGATCAATGGGGGGAAAAGGAAACATATGTAATACTTTCAACACTATAAAATTTTAAAAATAATAATGACAGGAGGGAACGGAGGTGAACTGGTAAAGATACAGACAACCCAACTGAGGTTACAACTGGCCACAGAACATTTCCTGGTACTCTCCACCATCCTAACAAAGAGATTTCTTTCGCCCCTGCCAAAAAGAGCTCAGAGTTTTGTATTGTAAGAACATTCCTGTTCACCCTGAAACTTTGGGTAAAAAACAAATTTACAAAGGAATAAACCAAGGAACATAAAATGGCAAAAGAGAGTCTCCTTACTCCTGAGTCCTACCCCAGATGGTGAGATAGTGAGTGAAGTAATATTAGTTTGGACCAAAGAACACAGGGTGACTCAGCTACATTCCAGAGAATGGCATTTCCTGAGTACAAGTGCTTCCTAGGACCAGGCAATAGAGGCCTTATCAGACCGACTAGAGAAGAGGAACTGATGTCCCCAACCTCACCCCATCCAAATCATACATTCCAAAGTCTTCATTCTACACCGCAGGCACATTTAGTCTTCCCTGGAATGCAGTCTACAGACCTAAGTGCACTTGGGTCCTGAGACATCTTGTCCATGTTATTAGGCTGCCCAAGACAACCCTGCTAAGTGCCTAGAGCAACCGTGGGCAAACTACGGCCCGCGGGCTGGATCCGGCCTGTTTGAAATGAATAAAACTAAAAAAAAAAAAAGACCGTACCCTTTTATGCAATGATGTTTACTTTGAATTTATATTAGTTCACACAAACACTCCATCCATGCTTTTGTTCTGGCCCTCCGGTCCAGTTTAAGAACCCATTATGGCCCTCGAGTCAAAAAGTTTGCCCACGCCTGGCCTAGAGTCATCTCACTCTTATTCATTGATAGCATTACTCCTCTGAAAATCCTATATAATAAAACCCTACTATGCAAATAGACCAAAGGGCGGCACGACCAGCAGAATGACTGGTTGCTATGACATGCACTGACCACCAGGGGGCAGACAATGCAAGAATGCGCTCCCACAGGGGGAGTGCCGCTCAGCCAGAAGCCAGACTTAAGGCTGGTGAGTGCAGCAGCGGTGGTGGGAGTCTCTCCCACCTCCGTGGCAGCAGTAGTGCTAAGGAGCAGCGATCTGAATGGTAAGGAGCAGCGAGCAGGCGGGTGGTAAGGAGTGAGGGGTCCCAGACTGTAAGAGGGCACAGGCCAGGCTGCGGGATCCCCCTCCACCACCAGTGCATGAATTTTGTGCACTGGGCCTCTAGTTGAATTAATAAAGGACTCTTGAAGATGTTGAAGAATTTTCAAACCTAAGGAATGAATTGCTGAGAATAAAGTTGGAGGAGACACGGTTCAGTGTTGGGGCCCGCCCAGCATCCCAGTATGCAGGTCACTCACTGACTTGTTAGTGCATACAGTTAATCCCAGGGAATCAACCACCAGAAACCAGCACAACGTGTCAGTAGATCCTTTTCAACCTTTATCCCAGGCAAATGTGTGGTGCTGGTGGATGTCAAGGAATGGGAACGAGTTGAAATATTCCACTAAAACAGTGTCTAATTGAAGCCAGGATCTGGTAGTCCAGAACTTGATAAATGGAATCATACTATAGTTTGATTTTCATTCCATGTTTATCATTTTTATCAAATTATCATATATATATATATATATATATATTTTATTGATTTCAGAGAGGAAGGGAGATGGAGAGAGATAGAAACATCAATGATAAGAGAGAATCATTGATTGACTGCTTCCTGCACGCCCCCTACTGGGGATTAAGCCTGCGACCCAAATGGGAATTGACTGGGAATAGAACCGTGACTTCCTGGTTCATAGGTCCTTTTGGCATAATGGAAACTGAGGGAGAAACAGAACACAAGGGTTTGATTCCTGTGGTTCTGCTGTCTAAAAGTGAGTCTTGGGCAAGTTTTCTAAGTCTTATTCCTTTCCCGGGGCTGTCATAACAAAATACCACAAACTGGGTGGCTTACAGAAGAGAAATGTATTGTCTCAAAGATGTAGAGGCTAGAAGTCCAAGATCAAGGTGTTGGCAGGGTTGGTTCCTTCTGAGGGCTGTGAGGAGGGATCTGTTTGGGGCCTCTCTCCTAGCTTCTAGTGTTCTGTGGGCAATTCTTGGCATTCCTTAGCTTGTAGATGCATTACCCCATTCTCAGCCCTCATGCTCACATGGTATTCTACCTGTATGTCTCCCTCTGTGTCCAAATTTCCCCTTTTAATAAGGACATATACTCATATTGGATTAGGGCCCACCTTACTGATCTCATTTTAACTTGATTACCTCTATGAAAGCCCTATCTCCAAACAAGATCATCTTCTGGGGTACTGGAGGTTAGGACTTTAACAAATGAAGTGAGTCAGACACAACCCACAGCACATAGCTGGTTTCCTCAGCTGTAAATGGGGTTCATGATACAATTCTTCCTCATACTATTGTAGTGGTTGTGAAAGTGCCTCAAAGAGGCTTGGATCATAGAAAACCGGAGGATACCTGGTTTGTCTGAATGTGCACTTGCCTTGGTGGTGTTTGGACCAGACCGTGTCCCTAGGGAGCAGGGCTCTGGTGGGTGGGTACTCATGCTGTGAGTGTCCACCACATGCGAGCAGGTGCTTGACCAAAGCATTTTGATGATGGTGAAGACAAAAGGCCAGAGAGAAAAATCTGAAGACAGATGAGCCAGCACTATAAAAAATCTGATACTAGTTATGGGTGAGGAAGTGGAGCCCCAGGACACTCCATACACTGCTGACTGAAGTGAACACATATAAATATTTTGGAGGGTGATTTGGCATTATGCATAAATGGGGAAGCAATTCCACTCTTAGGTATATATTTTAGAGAAATGCTTATACATGTCCCCAGGAAAGATGTGCAAAAACGTTCATAGCAGCATTGGTTGGAAAAAAAAAAGAAAGGAAAAAGAAAACCTAGATTTTCTAAATATGACGTTTATATAGAGGAATACTACACAGCTGTTAAAGTGAATGAACCAGAGCAATGTGTATCTCATGGATGAATCTCACTAGTAAAATATTGAGCAAAAAAAGACAATTTGCAGAAGAATATATGCAAGGGGTCAGGCAAAACTAAATGCTGTATTGCTCAGGATACATACACAGTTATATATATAAAGAATATAAAGACAAGTGTGGGAACTGCAAACACCAAATTCATGAGGGATGTCGTACAGGAAGAAGGAAAAGTATAAGCGGAACTTCAGCTATATTTATAGCATTTTTTTTAAAAGGAGGTCCACAAAATTGGACGTTGAATTCAACGCCTAAGACTTGAGGTCCACAAGTAAGGTGTATCAGTTAAAAAGCCAGGACTGGAGGAGCCTTACATAAAACAGAGGGAGAAGCTGGGCCGACTTGTGAGAAGATTCAGAGTTGCTCTTGCCACCCCTGGAGCCCAGACCTCAGACCCCAGACCCCAGACCCCAGACCCCAGAGTAATGGAAACTGATGAGCCACACTGAAAGGCTGAGCCCAGAAAGGTCTCCTGTTGAGGGGAGGGAAGGAAGGGAGGACATTTTGATGCTGCCCCCTCTGGTTCTGAACCTAGTTCTTGGCCTGCACCCCAACCCCTGGGCTGCAAGAACCCCAGGTGGAGGAGATGGGGGTAGGGGGTGGTGGAGGGCTGCAGAGCATTCCAGTACCCAGGCCCATGGATGCACTTGCCTGCATGTCTCACTCACACCAAACACACCCATGCAGGCTGCCACCCCCACTCACACACTGCCTTTCAAACAAGCTGGATTGACACCCGGACAGTCCACAGCACCTTTACAGCCCTTCACGCATGCACACACACCCCTTCCACCGCCCACCCTGGCCAGAACCCCAGAACTGGAGCTGCTGCAGAGCCGGCCGGTGGCAGGCCCCCAGCGACCTCTACAGCGCTGCGTTTTTCCAGCAGAGTCTCACTCCCTCTACCGTTTTCTCTGGGAATTGGTGTCTGACGCGGCTGCTCTGCACATTATTTATTTATTTCCTCTTCCTCCCGCCCAGACCCTCCTGTCAGGAGAGCTGCAGCCCAAACGGAGACAGGCAGGAAGCTACCGGGACACAGGAGGCAGAGGACGGAAGGAGGACCTCTCAGAAGCCCCCACCCGGTACATCAAGCTCATCAAGTCTCCCAGTGGCCATGAGCACCAGGCAGGAGACCAGAAGAGAGGGGGGAGACTCCAGCAGGAGGGGACAGGGGGCAGAGCTTCGGGACCGAGCCCACCTGAGCCAGCAGCGCCGGCTCAAACAGGCCACCCAGTTCCTGCACAAGGACTCCGCTGACCTGCTGCCCCTGGACAGCCTCAAGAGGCTGGGCACCTCCAAGGACTTGGTGAGGAAGCCCTCTCCCCTTCCCCAGACCCCCCCAGAAGACCTCTGGCCCTTCCTCTCCACCTCTCCACCTCTCCACCTTCTATCCTGAGGGTGGGAGTGATGACATTTAACTGGGGATCCTAAGCCTTCATATTCCCCTCCCTCACTGAGAGTGGGAACAGGCAGTCCTGCCAACTTGAGGGGCTCCCTCTGATCATTCTCAGCTCTTCATCGGGAATATTCCCATGACTTGTGGCTCCGAGGGACCCGATTCTCATTGCTCAGCTTTTCCCCCCAAACCCAAGGCTTATCTTGGAGTGAGCTCTGCTGTTTGGGAGTAGAGGTTTTTAGGGGCACGGAGCCTCTGGAGCAGTTGATTACAGCAGGAAGGCCTGGAGGATTGGCCAGTTTAGGGTTATGATTTCCTTCCTCTCCCTAAACCAGAGTCCCTCATACCAGTTCTGGCCACTCATTTGCTTTCCCCCCTCAGAATGAAGCATTAAAGCCCTCCATCCTTGCCAAATCACCAGGATTTCTAATGGCGCCTGCCAGGCCACCTGGCCTCCTGAGGGCCCCCTTCCTCCCTCTGAGCCTCCCTCCAGGCTCCTTTCCTCCCATCTTCCTGCAGCAGCTTTGGCCTCCAGAGGGAATGGGGTGGGGGAGTAACCGTGGGAGGTGAGTGGTCAGGGGACCTGCATGTGTGCATTCCCCTCAGAGAGAGTGGTGAGGAGCATGGGCTTTGAAGCCACGCTGCTTAGATTCAGATTCTGCTCTGCTACTTGGGCAAGTTACTTTATGTCTCTGCCTCAGTTTCTTCACCTATTAAATGAGGATAAAATTAACAGTACCTACCTCATAGGGTTGTTGCAAGAGTTAACATGAGCTGATACCCATAAAAGACTTAGAACAGTACCTGAGTGAGAGAAAGCAATATGTACCAGTAATTGCTAATTATTATTATTCCTTCAGCCACTATTTATTCCACTCAGCCTGGGAGAAAGGAAGCTCTGTAGGAGCCAGAGAACCTGGCATCATATCTGGCCTCTTGGTCATAAAAGAAAGGAAGGCTTTTGTACAAAGGTTTGGGAGCACTGTTCACTCTCCCTTCTCCGAGTCAGAAGGGTCTGAGAGGAGAGTGGGTACTCCTGCAACCTGAGAGGCACAAAGGCATTTCTTGGGGCCTCAGGCCATTCTGGCAGCTCCGACTTTCCATATGCCTCCCAGCCAAATATTCCCCCTCCAGAACCTTGCCCAGAGGCCAGCAACCCCCTAGCCCCACCCAACAGCCCCCCAAAAGGAAAATTGATCCGATTAAGATTTCAATTGAGCCAGAACCGGTTTGGCTCAGTGGATAGAGCGTCGGCCTGCGGACTGAAGGGTCCCAGGTTCGATTCCGGTCAGGGGCGTGTACCTGGGTTGCGGGCATATCCCCAGTAGGAGATGTGCAGGAGGCAGCTGATCGATGTTTCTCTCTCATCGATGTTTCTAACTCTCTATCTCTCTCCCTTCCTCTCTGTAAGAAATCAATAAAATATATTAAAAAAAAAAAAAAGATTTCAATTGAGAGAACCTCCTCTTTGCAAGCATAGCAAGCACAGCTGAGAAACGATGGACAGTGAAGCAGGTTCTTTGCTCCCAGTGGCTAGGACCTTTCAGCCTCTACCCTTTGGGGACCATCGATTTGGCCCTGGAGAAGGGCCATCCCCATGGGAAAGGTGGGAGGAGAGCTGGGAACTGCAGAGCTGCTCTTTCTGGCCAGTCCCAGAGCTCGCTGCCCTTTTCCCAGAGTTGGGTCTCCTGCTGGCAGTCTTGCTGGCGGGAGCAGCCTCAAGGGCCTCATTAGGCCATGGGTGGAAAAACAATCCCAGGCTCCCAAGGAGAGAGGGCAGGTGGAGAAGCATGTGTGGAGCCCGGAAGGAGACAGTATTCTTCAGCAAGTATATGCTGGGCTAAGCCCAGCAAAACAGAAAAATGAATGAGATACAGACCTGACCTCAAGCACTCTCCAAGTTAATGCGAGAGTGAAATTCACAAAGAACATCTGTGAGAAGCATGACAAAGGGGACTACCCAGCCTTGTGTGTGGAGGGAAGAGCACAAAGAGGTCAGAGAGAGCTCCCTGGAGAAGGTAAACCTGCACTAATTACCAGATGCACATGGAACCCCAGACGTTTCTCCTGAATAGTTTAGTTCTTGAGCAAAGTGTGTTGAGCTAGTCATCCAGGTCCCGGAATAGGGGAGAGCAGAAGCCAAGGCCCGGAGGTGGAAAAACAGCCTGTGCAAGCAGTATAAGCAGGGTGGCTGGGCCAGATGAGCCGAGTGGGGTGGGGTGGGGTGGGGTGGGAAGGGTGAGATGAGGCAGAGTCGGACAGTGACCAGGTCATCTGGACTGTGGATCTCCTTAAAAAGTTTGAGCTCTACCATGTAAGCAATGGGGAGGGGGGTGCTTTGATGAATTTTAAAAAGAGGAGTAACATGTTTAATTTTGTTTCATTTGGGCGCTTCTCAAACTTTAATGAGCACACCAATTATCGGGGCATCTTGTTAGAATTGAAGCTTCTGATTCAGTAGCTTTTCTGCATTTCTTCCAAGTGATGTTAAAGCTGCTGATATGAGGACCACACTTTGAGTAGCAAGGGTTTTAGATAATCATTGGCTTTGAGCAGTACTGGAGGCAGGTTCTTATGAAGTCAAAGAGGCATCCCAGTGAAGCAGGAGAGCTGGGGTGAGTCTGGAATAAAGGCAGTAACAGCAAGCAGGATGGACTACAGACACAGGAGGCAAAACTGGTAGAATTTAGAAAGAGATTGGTCAGGGTTGGGGGGAGGGGGTTGCACGTGAAGGGGAGTCCAAGGATGACTCACAGCATCCTAATTTTGAAGATTTTAACTTTCTCCTTTTTTTTGTTTTGTTACTTTAATTCCTATTAATCACACCATCAACTCTGGGACCTGCAACCCATTCAAGGATAAGGTCAACAAAGGGGGGAAATGTCCGAACAAACAAAAAACCTGTTGAGACAGAATTTCCCCTAAGCATAATACTAGCTCCTGAAATGTACCATCAGCCAATATTAATCAGTCAAACCCAGATGGGCTATTCCCTTCCCATTTCTTCATCGCTGAGCAATTATTGGGGGGGTCCCTGGAAATGGCATGATTTGATACTGGGTTCACTCTGCTATAATTATCTAACTGCTGGGAGTCTTGAATAAGCTTCTGCCCCTTTCTTACTCCTGTGAGACTCAGGACTGGGTGGGATTAGAGACAATGTCCTGAGATATCTAAGGTGGGGAACCGAGCAGCCTGGATACTTGGCTTCAGACCTATCTTCCTTTATTGTTCTGTGATGGAGCTAGCAGCCGCACAGCGTGATCCAAAGACGCCTGTTAGAAGGAAACCAGAGTCGGAGTCAGGGGGAGTCTCCCCTGGTGCAGGCCCTGATGCATGGCCAGGAGAACAGGAGGAAGACTAACACGCCAGAGATCCAGCTCTTCTGGTCAATTGCAAGGTGAGAGGCCTCCCAGGGCACTGGCTTTCCTTAACCATCCTGCCTGTGACTGGCTTACTTTACCCACTCTCCTTTCTGCCCTGGGTAGTGAGGGAAGGAGGGCGGGAGAAAAGGAACCTCTCTCCTAAGCCTGGACCAAAAAATGGGATCCTCTATCTTCTTTACTCTTTGCCTCAAACCATCTTCCTTCTGTGCAATTCCAGCTGTCACCACCACGACTCCCTTTCTTTTATCAAAGTATAATCTTTAAATGTAAATATGTAAATGATCTTCAGTGTGCTCTATATAATAGCGTGTACATGGATGGATAATGCAACCCTCCTGGAAAAGCTCATGTGGTTGCCTTGCCATCTCTGAAGCCATTTAACCACCTGCCAATACTGAACCTTCCTAATAAACACCCATTGCTCTTAGGCCACTGTCTTCGCTCAGCATTTCCTCTGCCCGCTTTGCAATCATTTTATGTTCACATTCCACAACCTCTTAAGCCTCAAATGTTACCTCCTCCTTGAAACCTTTTGGTTTCCCCAGTAGAAAATAGCCTTTCCTCGTAGGACACTTTACTGACAATCCTTTCATAGGTCTTAAGACTCTACCATACAGCAGTTACATTTCACTTCCCTTAGGCTCTGAAAAAATAGTATTCATTGCTGTGCCTTCCAGCAACATCTATACATAGTAAATGCTCAGTAAATGTTTGGAATGAGCCCTGGCTGGTTTGGCTCACTAATTAGAGCATCAGCTTGTCCTCAGACTGAAGAGTCATGGGTTCGATTACTGATTAAGGACACATACCTTGATTGCAGGCTCAATCCTCAGCCCCAGTTGAGGTGTGTGTAGGAGACAACCAATCGATGTGTCTCTCTCACATTCTCTCTAAAAAAAATCAATGGAAAAAGTATCTTCAGATGAGGATTAAAGAAAAAAGTTTGGAATAAGAAAACTATGTGTTTGTGATATGCAGTGTAACCCAAAATGTCTGTATATGCCCAAAAGAAAATGAACGTGTCTTCCTTTGCTTCCCATGGTGAACGTCTCTCTTACTCACATTTGAATTTCCCAGAAGGTATCCCAGTCTCCTCATCCCTCCCCTACTCCAACTAGATTTCTCTAACCTGGTGGCCCTCAGCCTCCCAAGAATTCCTCTAGACCAGGGGTGGGGATAGTCTGGCCCGTGGGCCATATAAGGCCCGCGAAATCACTTGGTTTGGCCCTGCAAAGGCATTAGGGGTTGTTTAAATGTTTGACCAAATATAGCAGGCTAATTTTTAAGTTGATAATTTTGTGTGGCCCTCGAGTGATGTTATAAATATCCAAATGGCCCTTGGCAGAAGAGCGGTTCCCCACCCCTGCTCTAGACAAACAGATATTCATTTCTGGTCAAATTGTTGCCAAACAGATGGACTCACCATCCCATGCATCTCACTTCCTTTTTTGATTTTTTTTATCTGAGCCAGTTTTTTCTCAGTTGTACAAGTACCATGAAAACCACTTTTAAAGACACAGTTCATTCCGTTCGTTCATTTCTGAAAGGCTGGGAAGGTGCAGGTCCCAGTCCATTCTCCTGGGACTCACTGAATCCCCCACAACCCTCTTTCTCAGTGTCAGGACCAGGTTCTTAGGGTGGCCGTGGACACAGGCACCCACTACAACCAGATCTCCACTGGATGCCTCACCCGCCTGGGGTAAGAGTATGGCCCAAAATAGTGGATGGGGAATGGGGCTTCTTTTGGGAGTGATGATATTGTGAAATTAGATAGTAGTGAATATATCTGTGAATACAAAAACCCACATAATTGTACACTTTAAAAGGGTGATGACTCCTATGGTATATGAACTATATCTAGTTGATGGGGCTCTGACAGAGAAGATAAGGCTTTAGACCAGGAATCCTCAAACTACGGCCCGTGGGCCACATGCAAATACAAATATTGTATTTGTTCCTGTTTTGTTTTTACTTCAAAATAAGATATGTGCACTGTGCATAGGAATTTGTTATAGTTTTTTTTAAACTATAGTCCGGCCCTCCAACGGTCTGAGGGACAGTGAACTGGCCCCATTTAAAAAGTTTGAGGACCCCTGCTTTAGACCCTACGTGGGGCCAGGGATTGTGTGAAAACCCAGTGTGGTGGTGGTGGTGGTGGTGGTGGGAGGACGTTAGCTGACTAAAGGAATAGGAGTTAGGCCTGTAGTGGCAATAACCCTTGCTTCCCCACTACAGGTTAGGGAACAGGGACCTGGTGCCTGGACTCCCACCCCAGGTGGAGCAGCTGGAGCTACAGCTAGGCCAGGAGACTGTGGCATGCTCAGCCCAGGTGGTGGGTAAGTCCTTCCTTCATCAATAGCCCCTCTTTTCATCTCTTCTACCTTCTCTCCTGGCAGAGGGAGGGGGGGAGGGTGCAAAGGCGGAGTTTCAGCCCTGTCAGCATCAGACAAGGCGTCCCCAAAGGTGCTCTGACTATCCCCAATATCTGGGCCAAGATTCTCAGACCTGGGGGTGGACTGGGCGAGAAGGGGCACGCGCTGACAGGAGGGCAGCAGTGACCACCGGGTACCCTTCAGAGTCTTGTTTTCATGTGGTTCCTGCAGATGTGGAGAGTCCTGAGTTCCGTCTCGGACTGCAGACTCTGCTTTCTCTCAAGGTAAGGAGGACACTAGCACTCTGGGGCCTGACCAAGGGCTGGGAAAGAGAGGCAGGAAGCACAGGTGTGGAAGCCTGGGTCAGGTTCCAGTGAAAGACATGATGTGGGACTGCAGCTTTGCTTCCTAGAGGTTCCTGATCTGCCCACAAGTGAAAAATGTGGAGCACTGGGTCCCTCCCTGACAGGGGTCCAAGTGAATGGAAATGGGGAAGCGGTGGGGGGGGGGGCGGGGGGGACAAGTAAGAGGGGCTGGGAGACAGGTTACCTGCAGAGGTAACCCCCCGTTTCCTCCTCCACACCCCACAGTGCTGTATCGACCTGGAACACCGAGTGCTGCGGCTGAAAGCCCCTTCCCAGAGCTGCCCTTCCTGCCTTTGTACCCAGAGCCTGGCCAGTGACTGCCGGCCCCATCAGTCCCCAGGGGCAGTCCTGTGACTTAGGGAAGAGCCATGCGGGGTATGGGGACATTACTACAGCCAGGTAGCTGGGGATCGCTTTGTCTGTGCCTTCTGTCACCACCCTGATCCTGCTGTTCCATTTCCCTGTCGGCCACATCTTCCCTGCTTCTTGGCAACTTCCCTATCCCCCAGGAGTTTTCCCAGAGAGGGCCCAGGATCTCAGGGCTCTGGTTTCCCTGTTCTCTCTCATTCCCCTCCAGAGAAGAGCAAAGCCAAACCGGGTCTGCAGAAAATGACACAGCATCCTGGCCAGTGTGGCTCAGTTGGTTGGGTGTCATCCTGTGCACAGAGAGGTTGCCAGTTTGATTGCCAGTCAGGGCATATGCTCAGGTTGCGGGCTCGGTACCCGGGGAGGGACGTGCAGGAGATGTCTCCCTCTCACATCAATGTTTCTCTCTTTCCCTTCCTCTCTCTCTAAAAATCATTTTTAAAATATCTTTTTAAAAGATTATACAAGGAAAATGGGGTTACAGGCTAGGCCCTGGCATGGTAGAAACTGGCCTCCACCTGTCCCCTGCCACCCCAAACCTCCTCGACTACCTTCACTCCCACATCTCTCACCTCACTTTCTGGACTCATTATCTTTCAGGATCAGATGCCCCACCTCACCAACCAGCTCTCCAGCCCGGCTGGTGCTTACTGTTCTGATTCTGCATACGCCTGCTCACAGCTGAGTGGGGGTGGGGGAGACACTGAACAGAATGATTCAACACCCTAGGAAGGTGGCTTGGTAGAGGAATGCCAGCTCACAAGGCTGGGAGCTCTGTTAGTTACCTTTTCTGAGCTTGCAAACATCTGAAGCAAGTTATCATTTCATTACCCTGTGCAAAACCTTGGCTATACCTCTACTATTTCCTCCAGATATTTGTCCTTCTCCACTTGCTTTTCACCCACTGGGTCCCTGAACTTCAGGGTGTGTGTGCAAGAGCCCTGCAGAGAGCTGCCCCCAAAGGTGAACGGGATGGAGGGGTTGTCAGTACTCAGACTTCACCTGACCAGTAGTAATTCTAATTTCTAGAACTATCCACCTCATTAGACCTTCTTCCTACCCCTCATCTTGGGCTTCCTGAGCTAGACCTTGTCTTGTTTTGGAATCAGTGGCTTTCTATCCCCTGGCGGGCTCTAAGCCAAAGCAAAGGGACAAGGAGGCTCTTCCGACTTCACTGTGGAGAAGAATCCAAACCTTAAGAAGCTAGACCCACGAGTGTCTTTCTGGCTGATTTGAGCCTTTGAAATCATGGATGAGTGGTAGACAAGAGAGTGGTGTAACTAACCTGACCTAGGGAACTGGGACCTTAGGCTGGAAACAAAATCTTGAGCGTGGGGCAGGTTAGAGAAGAACCAGGATGCAAGGAACTGCCCTGTGACACCCGGCCTTACCTTTCTCGGCTAAGTCCCCCGCCCTCACAGGGCGAGGAGAGGGGCTCACTATCACAGTGTGATAGGACCCTGGTCCCTCACTGCCTGGCTCCATGGCCTCCGCTTTCCTGGTCTCACCCTGCTCCTTTCACTTCTGCCTCCTGCTGCTTCTGTAATTGTAGACAGACTGCAGACCCCAGGCCCTATGGCTGGCCCTCAGCTCAGCTGCCTCTCCATTTGAATAAACACCTGTTTCTCTATGGTGATGTCCTCCTTTGTTCTTCTTCCATGCCCACCAGAGCTGAATGATAACTCTGCCCGTATTCCCTTACAAAAGGAAATGTGAATGTGGACCTTTCCCCAGCATGACCCCTCAGGCTGGGGTCAATAAAATTGAGAGCAATAGCTTTCAAACTCCTTGGAACATAATTTAAAGCAGGAAATACAGTTTATATTACACTCAATATACACATACAATTATAACAAAACAATGTTTTCATATACTGTGAGCAATATACTTTATTTTTCATTCTATTGTATTCTATTTCATTTATTTAAAAAATGCTGACCACATCCCACTGAAAGATTGCAACCTACAATTTGAAAGATACTGATTTAAAGCACACAGAATTAAGAGCAGAAGGGATAGAAATGGCCCAAGATAGAATTCTGATTATGGTCTGGATCATAAATCTGCATCAGGTTGTAAATGTCTATTGTCTGATGGACAATAGGTGTTTCTGTGGAAATGGGGGGTGGGAAATGGAGCGAGGCCTAGGAAGCTGTGTGATACTTGAAGAACATGGCAAAATGAGAGGCTGCTGGCCCAGGTTCTTTGGAAAATAGAGCAAAATCATCTCAGGATTGCTGGGGACACAGAAAAACCAGACTGTGAAATGCCCTGAAAGGCCCCTCGATAACAAAGCCGACAGTTTGCCATTCTTGCAATAATCGCCACTGTCAGAGACCTGGAGCTGTGACATGAAGATGGAGCTTAGGATGGGGCAGAGGCCTTACCTCACAGCTCCACTGGCCCCGAAGCCTAGTTTCCTCACAAGTGTCAGTGCCACACAAAAGATTGGTGCTCCTTCCTCACAAACAAGTCTGTTTTCCATTCGAGACTGGGGAGTTTTGGGGAGGGGGCAGTCCCAGATGATGTGGAATAAGGTCAGGGTCCTACAACCCTGCTGATGTGATGGGTGAGGTACACAAGAAAATGGGCACAGTCAAGTTGTCTCTTCTTTCACCGAGAAGACCATGAGATCTATAGTTCACAGTTACCCCCGGGTTGCTGCCATCTGTCCATGCTCCTCTGTAGTATACATTCCCTCTCCTGCCAATACCATGGACACCTTGGGGGTAGAGAGGTTCAGAGGATCCTTATTCAGCTAAGAGGGAAAGCCCCGCTAGGTGGGATCCTGGAGGCTTGCAGGAGCACACTGTGGTGGCTGGTCAGGATGGTAGAGGGTTTGGTGAACCAGGGTGCGGGCTGCTGGGAGGTCATCAGGATCTGAGGGCAAGAAAGGGGCTGGTAAGAGGCTGTGGCTCTCCTGGACCCCCCGATTTTCTAACCCTGCAGCTTGCTGGGACTCACCCAGGCCTAGCTCCTGCAGCAGGTCCTGGTACTCGGGCTCAGCCTCCAGCAATTTCAGCAGATTGGTAGACTCCATCCGCTCAAGCTGCACCTCCCAGTACACATAGATCTTCTGGTTGAATGTGACATACACGAGGCAGGGGCTGTTGCGGCCCTCTTTGCAGGCATACAGGCCTGGGAGGTGGGTGGTGAGACAAAGGTCCAGAAGTTTCAGTCCAGTGGTGGGAAGGCAAGAACAAAACACGAGTCAGCAGTTTTGACCCTCCCACAGATGCCAAGCAGAAAACTAAAGGCTCTCTTTCTAAGTCTTCTCTGATGGGAACTCAGTAAAATAGGTAAAACAGAAAAGATCTGGCCCCACTCCAGGTACAGAAAAACTATTGTACAAAACCCAGGCAGAATAGCATTCAAATACGTGCTACTTGATTTGACTAGTCTTGCTAATCTAAGGGGTAAATCAGCAAAATGTAACCAGAAACTAAGATTTCTCTGAGGTGGCAACTCCTGTGCAAAGGCCCTGGAGTAAGTATGCCAGCACACTGCCCAATTCTTCTCACTTTGGTAACCACACGTATCTCCACGTCATCCCGAGTGCTGGTTTCCAAGGTCCCGACTGGGAACTAATGGGAATGTCCTAGGACAGCGATTTTCTACCAGCGTACCACAAGAATTTTTAAAACATGCAATACTTGACTATTTAGTCAGGGGCACTGTTCTCTTTTCCCTTAGATTGTGAATAAAAAATGACAGCAGACAGCACAACAGCTGTCCAGTGTGAAAGAATCAAAATTATACTTTTTTTGGTCAGAATGGCAAAACATATATTTGTTCATGTGCTGCAGGATATTAGTGATTAGCTTATTAGTGCCATGAGAGGAAAAAGGTTGAACATCACTGGGCTAGGACCATGTTCTTCACAGAGTTTTGATATACTCAGATGGGAAAGAGCTTTCTGATGTCTTCATACAGATAGATAAGAAATCATACATTCTGCCCTGGCTCAGTAGATAGAGCGTCAGCCTGTGGACCGAAGGGTCCCAGGTTCGATTCTGGTCAAGGGCACATGCCTGGATTGCGGGCTCAGTCCAACATGCAGGAGGCAGCCAATCAATGATTCCCTCTCATCATTGATGTTTCTATCTCTCTCTCTCTTCCTCTCCCTTCTTCTCTGAAATCAATAAAAATTTTAAAAAATGAAATCATACATTCTTTAAAGTATTCAGAAATAGAGATTTCATTTTTTTTTTCTTATTTAAAACTGTAAAGATGGCAATTGAGCCTGGCTGGCATGGCTCAGTGGTTGAGTGTCAACCTATGAAACCAGGAGGTCATGGTTCAATTCCTAGTGGGCCACATGCCCAGGTTGTGGGCTCGATCTCCAGTAGGGGGCGTGCAGGAGGCAGCTGATCAATGATTCTCTCTCATCATTGATGTTTCCATCTCTCTCCCTCTCCCTTCCTCTCTGAAATCAATAAAAATATATTAAAAAAAAAAGATGGCAATTGAGTACTCACCTATCACCCTCCAATGAAAGAGCTAAGGAACTCATTTGTTTATGAAGATTCACATTAGGGGACACACTGAGAATGGAAATAAGAGGCAGACAGTGTGTTAGGGGGTGTGGGGCAGGGGCCCACCTGCACAGAAAGCTCGGACATTCTCATCCACTTGGAAGCGGACGACTGTGCGGTTGTGATCAATGATATACGTCTGCCCGTCCCAGGCACAGGCAACCACCTCCTCGTGCCCGTTGCCCTGAAAAAGGTCAGAGACAAGATTGTAAGGTGTGGCCAGGAGCCATTTTAGAAAGAGATCTAATGACAGGGCTGGATAGAATACTGTATAAGGAGCTGTGGACTTGGCTCTGATGACAAACCACCAGCTGGGAAAGAAGACAACCATATGTTTCTTACTGCATTTCTCCCATGTGCCAGGCACCAAAGAGGCTGTCAAATGAGCCACCTCACATAATGCTCACAACAACCCTGTGAAGTGGGCAACATTACTCCCAATTTGATACTGAGGGAACTTCAGCTTATAGAAATAAAGTCACGCACTCAAGGCCACTCAGCTGGGAGGCGGTGGAATCAGGCCTCCAACCCAGGCCTGTTCTACCTGACCTCAAAGCCTCAGGCCTTTTCTCCGACACCATTGAGCCTGCATGACGGCAGCACAAAGAACAGCCCCCGTTGCGGATTCAGGAGCCACAGCCTTAGTAAAGACAGACTCACACAGGACAAGAAAAAACATACATCTGCAGTTGGGACTGATGACTAACTTCTGGATTCAAGTAATTATCTGTTATCAGAGATTCCCTAGAGCACAGAGAAGAGTGCTATGCTTGTGGAATAGGGGAATGACTCACTTCAAAGGGAGTAAGAGCTGTCTAAAGAGGGCCTTAAAATAAAGGTTGAGCTTGGCTGGTGTTGCTCAGTGGCTGAGCATTGACCCATGAACCAGGAGGTCATGGTTCAATTCCCAGT